CTGCTAAGAGTACACTCACCAGGCAAATAACCAAACCGGGAAAAAAAACAGTGATAAAGAAAGAAATAGAGAAATTCTGATAATATGCATAAATGGGTGTGATGATAAATAAGCGATTAGTGAATAAATTAGATAACTAGATAGATGAATAAATAAATATGAATAATAAATGTGGATACGTAAATGTGCAGAGAGAAAAAACTGATAAATAGCTTAATGAATAAATGTATAGATAAATGAATAAACAAGTGAATAGATGAATGAATAGATGTAAGCAATTAAGAAAACATACAAACAACAATAAACAAGTGGATTAATTAGAATAAGTAAACAAAATAGACATAATGAATAATAAAATATAGAAGACGGTACAGGTACACAAATACGAAATAAACAAGAAATAAAGAAACTCGCAAACGAAAAGTAAAATAATAATGACTAAACAAACACAAACAAATGAAGAAATACATTAATTATTAAATGAAAACCTAAATACAAAATAAAGAAAAAACACAAGCAACACTAATTACAACAATCATATACCATTATAGTATAAGTTATTAAGTATTTACATTTTCTCCGTACCTCACGAAACACGAGAAAACGCGCGAGAAAATTTTATTTTAATTCTATTACTATTAATGCGTCTATTTGGGGTAGGTCTTAATTGGATTCGTCAGTCTTAATATAGCCGTATGTCTTCATGGGTCCCTTTAAGACGAGGGCCTATTATAACTGGGGCCCATGCAGCTAGTCAACATACACCAACCACCGCTTGAAGGAGAGTGGCGGCTACTTGCGTGACCCGACAATATTCATTAATTAAAACTTTGTGTGAAACCTAATTAGATTTTTTTTTTAAGCGGAGAACCAAAATACCTATTGTGTATAATCCTCTTCATTAAATTTGTATAATCTCCTTTAAAGGGATTTTTTTTCGCTATAAATAAGCTTATCCTCATTCAGTGTTTATTATCGTTTTCTGTTATTTAGTGTCAGTTTCTTGGAAAACAAAATAATTAAATTTCCGTTCTGTGAATTAGATATGTTTTCTCTTGTCATAATTTCTAATATATTTTTCTTCTAGTTCAAAGAAAATAGAATAATAAAATTGTTGATCATTTCATAATATAGTTAAGGATTTAAGAAATTACAAACATGTAATGGAGAATATAAATTAAAAATAATGAATGAAAGAATAACAGAAATGGAGGAAATGGGAAAACAATGATTATATATAAAGAAAAATCTACAGTATAGGTGACGATTATTTGTTTTAATTATTTTAGAGACAAATAAAATAAAAAGGATTAGTTAAATAAGCACACACACACACACACACACACACACACTTCCTTTGTGTACCTGTAAAGGAAGTAAATAAAAAAAGTGATCGTCTTTTGTCTCCGTGCTGCTGGTATAAACAAACTGAGATCAATATTGTGAATTAATCAGGTGCCTTTTTCGTGGGAGTATTAGGCTAAGGGTGACAGGAACTCGATAGACTGGTGACTGGAATGTTCAAATGGTCTGTGATAGCCAACAGTTGACTGGTTGGTACAGGTGGACAGACTGGTGATATGAGTGTTTAAGCTGCTCTGTGGTAACCGACAGTTGACTAGTTGGTACAAGAGGGCAATAGACTGGTAACTCTTGAGTGGCTTTATCAGAGCCACTAACTGAATGGTCAGATCAAAGAGCGAGAGAATGGTGACTGCAGGCGAAGGTTGTGATTTTAATATTTATGTAGACTGGTGAATTGAAACTATTAGCTTAGGTAACCGTTTTTTGTCTGGCCAGGTCTGGAAATGGAAAGACTGGCGAGTGGAGTGTTGAAGCACCTTTATGATAGCCGGCAGTTGACTGGTTGCAATAGGAGCTCGACAGACTGGCGACTGGAGAGCAACCTGATGGACAGTCCTGCAAGTAACCCCCGCCCCCTACACACACACCTCTCAAGCCTTTTGGTAAACATTGTGTCTCACCGGCGACTGGACACGGGTTTTCGAGAAAGATACACACCCCTGTAATAACAACAACACTGAAGGTATAATCGAAGACAAACCAATTGTGTGTATGAGTGACGTGGCTTAATCGTCATGGTCTTAGTAGGTGAGAATGACAATCCACGGTCCGGATTCACAAAGGTCAAGTACGTTTCGTTGTCTCCGAAATGACGTCAACAAAACGCATTTAATTAGGGTAGATTCCCAATGTAATTGTTTGTCTTTTTAAACATTATACAGTACTAGTGATTGAGCCTATGTTAACCAGGTGGATAATATGTACAGACAACTACAGTTACCGGGAATATTATTAGTGTTTACTGCTATGAACAGAAGGCCAGTGAGTGATCCCTTGATCCCTGATGCACTTATAAGGTTCCTCGAATTATCCAAGGTGCGAATATTTCAGAGTATTAATTATCGTATTTATATGATAAACAACATTATTGGGAATGATACAGGCCAATAGAAATGTTCTCTATGAGGAATACTCACTTAATTGTCCATATTTAGCTTATTCAATGTTTTCCTCGTATACCACGTCAACTGGTCCACTGTATGAGGTCATTATCCAAACATAGTATAAGACACGCAACGTATTTACGTCATCAATGAATACTAAACATGTAGTGTGAGGAGCCAGCCAGCCTTCTTCCAGAGATTTTAGAGCAAGATAAAGTCAAGGACGGGGAGAGGAATGAGTGGGGCTTCGGAAGGTGTACCTTACCCGAGATGAGGAGGCTAAAGCATATCTGTTCCCAGGTAAATAATTAATCAATCATTTTTTTATTCAACCCATTGCTAAAAATCATATGAAATCGTCTACTTGCGCCAGTATTTAACCAGAACTTTGAGAATACTGAAGTAAAACTCCAAATTTGAAATGCAATACACTAATGCAGTATTGAGCTCAAGGAAACTGATATAATTGCGTGGCGCCACTGTGACAGACGTGGGGGAGAGCTTCGATGGGTGAAGTGAAACGAGTCTATAGGAAATAACTGGAAAGGTGTTTAAGCCACTGCACCTTTCCTCTCATTCTAAAACTCACTTCAATCCTCCATTTATTCTTCCCTGAACCTCCATTCCCCGTCACTAGCCCTTATGTCATGTCATGATTCTTAGGGGTTCAAGCCTAAGTCCACCCTACGAAGAGCATGGGCAGGCCAGACACCTTTTTCACGGGTTCAAAGCTCAAGTCTACCTAGGCGACAAAATTTCCCCCAAATTTAAGTAAACACAATGACAACCGAACTTAGTGTCCACATTAAATCCACAGAATATATAGATTAGATTAAGTTAGGTTAAGTTAGATGAGGCTAGGTTTGGTTACGTTGAGGCTAGGTTAAGTTACGTTCCTGTAGGCTGTCAAATATCTCACAATTATTTTTATTTGTAGGGAGTGCAATTTGTCTGTTTAATATTTGTTTTTTATACGTATTTCTTGTCATGCGGTTCTCATTTTATCAATTATTTTTTAACCGTTTTCATCAAGCAGTCTACTGTATATTTATCTTATTTTCTTATCCTCCTATTCCTTTCGTTATCGATTCGTCTTAGTAAACCACTTCTAATGACATTTTTGGATATTTTATTACTTCTCCTAACATATTATTTTTTTTTGTATTTCTTAATTTATCGGTTCTTTTGTGTATTATTCCCATATTTATCTACCCCTTTGGACTTCTTCCTAATTTCCTAATCCAATTTACCAATTTCTACTAATCCAAGTCACTAATCCATCAGTTCTCTTATGACGTTACTAATTCTAACTGTTTTGACTAATCTCTCTTTCTAAGACACAAAAATAGTCTTTTGAATCTCCTAATCTACCATACACACAGTTTAATCCACCTACCCCCCTTTCTGATCCGTTGCTGCTAATCGGTGTTTTTATATTCTTTGTTTATTAAGTTATTTAAATGAATCTTTCTAATCATTAAGTTGATCCTATGTTTTTTCTAACCCACTTAGTTCGTATTTCTAATCTGTACCAGTTCCTCTAATTCGTTTGTCTAATCGACCTATTCCTCAAAACCCTTCATCCTAATCCATAAATTACTCATGAATCGTATTTTTAATCCGTCCATTCCGTCACGATTGAATTTTCTAATCTTTGCTAGTTCCTTCTTTCCGTTTTTCTAATCTACTGAATCTTCAAACACCGTCATCCTATCCTGCAAGTTCCTGTTACCCAAGAGGGAGGGACGTGTCCTTATCTACAAGTTACTTAGGAGGGAGTACTGCAACCTTACTTACTAGTTACTCAGGAGGGAGGGACGCAACCTTATCAACTAGTTACTCAGGAGGGAGGGACACAACCTTATCTACGAGTTACCCAAGAGGGAGGAAAGCAGCTTTACTTACTAGTTACTTAGGAGGGAGTACTGCAACCTTACCTACTACTAATTATTCAGGAAGGAGGGATGCAGGAGGCCCCTACCTCCCGATAGGTTCCCGGAACAGTATCATGTGCTTGGTTCAGTATCTGCGGGAGGTCTTACTCAGAACCAACAAGATAAGATTGGGTTAATTCTGCCAGGGAACGCTCCGTGTTCTGAGTAACGCTGTGTAGAAGTGTTCAAGAGTGAAAAAATAAAAATAAGAGGTATATTTAGTTATGGCAGATGGGTAATACTTGATAATGAAACAAGAATGAAAACTTTAGTGGTAAGAGACATGTTTACAAAGGCAATTATTTGCTCTTGACATTCAGATAAAAAGAAAAAAGTCATTTTCCTGTATTTACGAAGACAAAATTGATATTGGGCATTGAAATAATATGTAAAGGGTTATATATCTTGTAAAACAAAGAGATATTACCTGAACAAACGACTGACTTATGACTATGTATCGAGTAACTAACACGTGTAAACAATCGTCACTAAAACTCATGAAAATTGGTTCATCTTATCATACGCGTTTTTTATGTAATGTATTTTTCCCATCAAATAGAAAGTCAGTATCAAATGTATTTTCTCTTTTGTCTCTAAGGTACCATCGGCAGCCTTCATAGTTGTGTATGCTCCGGGAGTGTGGATAATGCATGAAACCCTGACAACAGTGTTACGGCTAACGTCTGCAGGAAGGTTGGCAAGATAACTTAACCCGGATGTATATTTTGAGTTCTCTATAACACGAGCGAAGATTCAGAGAGGTGGCCGCCCAGGAGCTCGACCAAAAGATACAACAATCGACAAGAGACGAAAAAGATCACCGAATTCTTCATTTTACGAAGTGACTCGACGTTGGTTTTTATCTGTTGGAAAATATAATTCACAGAGGAAGGAAGGGATCACCAGAAAAATTGATACCCCAGATTATGTTACCAAGAGATTAACCATTCACACGCAAAACTGTCCAAACGTAACGTAACCTAACCAAACTAAATCTAACCTGACCCAACTTAACCCAACCAAACCAAACCTGACCTAACTTAACTATACTAAACTATATATAACCTACTCTAACGAAACCTAACCTAACCTAATCGAACCTAACGTTACCGTACGTAACCTAACCGTACCTAAAATAACCTAATCGTACCTAATCGTACCTAATCTAAATCCCCCAGGTAGCATTAGAGTGATTAATCTCCAGGTAAATACAGCTGGGGTGTCTAGTCTACAGATGAGTCAAACTCTCTATCACAAGCCTCCTAGAATTGACCACCGTAAAGCCTCCCAGCATAGAAATCAGTCAGGGAGGATAATCAGCATGTGGCTATTGAGACTCCACTGTGTACCAAGACGGTTATTCACGTCATTATTCATATCACTAGAATGAAGAAGTTCCGTGTTTTTTACCCTTACCAACATGCGCTAGAAAAAAGTGAGTTCGTTTCCACCTGTTGCGTTACATCCTATACATCCACCAACTCGCTCGTGATATACCGTCGGTGGTGACAGGAGTGTTGCCAGGGTGATACTTGATCTTTAACACGTCTGTCTTTCTGGAGTTGATAATAACCGCCCACAATAACATAAACAACACGACGTCTGAATAAAGGCTCCTGGAATGGATAGTCCTCGTGGCTCAAGATGTAAGGATGATGATGCTATCTTTGTCGAGTTAATTATCGAAGTATATAAGAGAAAATAAAATTATATCTAGAAATAGTACATAAATAATATCGAGAGAACCGTAATTATAAACGTTCACCTAACACTAGAGTTTGGAGAGAAAATAACAGCAGATTATCCCTCTAAGGATTATCTGTATAAATTATATATTTTTCCCCTTGACTGATGCAAAGTGAACGGATCTTGTTTATGGAGAATCTCAGTGTTAACTTTACCGCTGTTATCTGGGCATGCATTTTTACGCTTTAAATCAAGTCAATTAATTAAATACAGGCTTTACATCTTCACTCCTGACTAACAGTGAAACCTCCATATAATGCACTTGTCTCTCCATATGAATCCGTTAGATTGGGGCTTTACATCTAATGGACCCTCGATATAACGGACTTTCCTCTCTACACAGTCCGTTATATGGAGGTTTTACATCTAATGGACCCTCGATATAACGGACTTTTCTCTATACAGTCCGTTAAATAGAAGCTTCACTAAACCTTCCACGTACAAACCTTTCACATTCTGGACCCATACTATACTGTTCTAAACACCAGAGAGAGCGATCATAGAGCTAAGCTAATAGTGTGTTTGGGTTGTGTCATGGGTTAGTTATTGTCTGTCGGTACAGGGACTAGACATCCTACCCTGTCCCATATATGGGTGTCTTAAGGGCCTTATTTCATATTCCGCCGACCCTATTGGCGGATGCTGGTCTAGGGAGGTTGTCTATTGCCTGGCCGTGTAGATCGTGGGTGGTAATGGACACTTTGAGATTTGGTTAGGTTCTCCCTCCTTCCCTCCCTCCCGCCCTGCCTACACCCCTCCCCCTCTCTCCCTCCTACCCTCCCTCCCGCCCTGCCTACACCCCCCTCTCTCCCTCATTCCCTCTCTTTACCATGCTCCTGTAGCTCCTTCATTCTCCACTTCCCTACCTACCTTCTACCTTACCTTTCTCCCTCATTCCTTACCTACCTTCCTCCCACTCTCTCTCCCTCATTCTCTCTCTCTACCTCACTCCTTTTCTCTCTAGCTCTCTCCTTCTCTCCCTACCTTCCTCCCTCGTTCTCTCTTTTCTCCCCTCCCTCTATTCCTCCTCCCGTCTCTAGTTCTCTCGTTTTCTACCCAATTCCCTGCTTCCTTACCTTCTTCCCTCCCTTTCTCCCTCCTTCCCTCCCTACAGAGTACCTCCTTCCCTCTCCATCACTTTCCCTCCCTACCTTCCTCCTTCCCTTTCCCTCTATCCCTGCCTACCTTCATCCCTCCTTCTCTCTCTCTGTCTCTCTTTGCTTCCTTCCCTCTCCATCAACTTCCCTCCCTCCCCCTCCTTCCTTTTCCCCTCTTTCCTTTTCCCTCCTTCCCTTTCCCCCTACTTCCCTTACCCCCTCCTTCTCTTCACCCTCCTCCAATCCCCTTCTCTCCCTGTAGTCTCTCGTTTCTTCCTTTCCCCGTACTTCCCTCTCCCTCTTTTTCTCCTCCTTCCTCCTTCCCTCTCCTTCTCTCCCTCTCTCTCTCTACCTACACCACTTGATCACCAGCACTCACAACAACACATAATATGAACAAAAGACGTCAAACCATTTCCTAGTAAAGTGTTTTTTTTGTCTAAATCTTAAACCACAAAACAAACATTCTCAGAACCGATTTTTTTCCTACATTGTAATCTGGCACTTCACCGCTTGCTGTCACTGGTGTGTGGTTGTGGTGAGGAGTTATGGGAATGTGGTTGTAGTTGTGATGGAGGGTTGATATGGCATGATTGTGGTTGTGGTTGTAGTTGGGATGATGAGGAATGTGGTTGCAGTAAGGGTTGTGGTGGGGGTTAACGGGGACTTGTGGTTGTTGTCGGGGTAATGATGATAATTATATTAGTGATAGATAGATAGATAGATAGATAGATAGATAGATAGATATTGTCCATCTTTCCTTTTTTTCATCAGAAAAAATTGCCACATATTTATCTACCTCATATCCATTCTAACTATTCAAACATCAAGCAATCCATCCATCCATCAATCCACCCATTAATTTATCTATCTACCCATTTATTCGTCTATCCACCCATCCATCCATCCATCAGTCCACCCTCTCATTCATCCATCCATCCATCCATCCATCCATCTATCTACCCTCTTATCCATCCATCCATCCATCTATCTACCCTCGTATTCATCCATCCATCCATCCATCTACCCTCTTATCCATCCATCCATCCTCTTATCCATCCATCCATCCATCTATCTACCCTCTTATCCATCCATCCATCCATCCATCCATCCATCCAATCCAGCCACCCAGCCACTGTACCATGCCGCCTCCCGCCATCAACTGGGGTCTTATCTCTCTGGGGGTTTGTATCTCCTCCACCGGTCACATATCAAGCAGGGGAAAGGGGCAGGAGGTAGGGCAAGGGGCAGGAGGTAGGGCAAGGGGCAGGAGGTAGGGCAAGGGGCAGGAGGTTGGGACAAGGGAGGAGGTTGGGCAAGGAGTAGGAGGTTGGGCAAGGGTGGGCAGGAGGTTGGGCAAGGGGTAGGATGTAGGCAAGGGGAGGAGGTTGGGCAAGGGGTAGGAGGTAGGGCAAGGGGTAGGAGGTTGGGCAAGGAGTAGGAGGTTGGGCAAGGGGGCAGGGAGGTAGGGCAAGGCAGGAGGTAGGGGCAATGGGCAGGAGGTAGTGCAAGGGGCAGGAGGTTGGGCAGGTAGGGGCAGGAGGTGGGCAAGGGGTAGGAGGTTGGGCAAGGGGTAGGAGGTAGGAGGTTGGGCAAGGGGTTGGGAGGTAGAGGGGTAGGAGGTGGGCAAGGGGGGAGGTTGGGGGCAGGCAGGGGTAGGAGGTGGGCAAGGAGTAGGAGGTTGGGCAAGGCAGGAGGTAGGGGCAAGGGGCAGGAGGTGTGGGGGCAGGTGGGAGGTGGGCAAGGTAGGAGGTTGGGGCAAGGGGTAGGAGGTTGGGCAGGAGTAGGAGGTTGGGCAAGGGGTAGGAGGTAGGGCAAGGGGCAGGAGATTGGGCAAGGGGTAGGGGAGGTAGGGCAAGGGGAGGAGGTTGGGCAAAGGAGGTAGGGCAAGGTAGGAGGTTGGGCAAGGAGTAGGAGGTTGGGCAAGGGGCAGGAGGTTGGGCAAGGGCAGGAGGGGGGGCAAGGGGCAGGAGGGGGGCAAGGGGAGGAGGGGCAAGGGATAAGAGGTTGGACATGGGGTAAGAGGTTGGGCAAGGGCAAAAGGTAGGAAATAGCAGGTAGGGTTAAGGGTAGGAGGTAGGGGCAAGGGGCAGGAGGGGCAAGAGGCAAAAGGTAAGGCAAGGGTAGGAGGTTGGGCAAGGGATTGGAGGTTGGGCAAGGTTGGGAGGTTGGGCAAGGGTTGGGCAAGGGGTAGGAGGGGGTAGGAGGTTAGGCAAGGGGTAGGAGGTTTGGGTAGGTAGGGTTTAGGTATAAGGTAGGGAGGGATAGGGAGGTAGGGCAGGGGACGGGGTATGAGGTAGGGCAGGGGACGGGGTATAAGGTAGGGCAGGGGATGAGAGGTTGGGCAACGGGTAGGAGGTAGGGTATGGGGTAGAAGGGTGGATAAGCGCCAGGAGGTTGGGCAAGGGGTGGAAGAATAGGATAAGGAACAGGAGGTTGGGGCAGGGGGCAGGATGCGGGGTAGGAGACGGCACATAAGACAAGGGCAAGAGTTAAAAGACAGGGGCAAGAAGCAGAAGATAAGGGGCAAGAGGCATAAGTCAGGGGGCAAGAGATAGAAGTCAAAAGAGGGGCATTAATTTCCTGGTAAACTTCAAGTCACTATCGCCAACCCAGAGAAACACATACTATCACAAGTGTTATCATAACCCCTTCCCCACCACAACACTCACCTCAAGGGGCCAGAGAATTAACTTTTACCTGATAACATTTATTCGTTTTATATCACCCCTGACGTGAACCTTGAGATGTGACCCTTGATGTGAACCTTGAGATGTGACTCTTGATGTGAACCTTAAGATGTGAGCCTTGAGATGTATCAGGGGTTAAGAAGGTACCTAGGTGAGGTCACCTGGGAACAGTCACGTCAGTTCCCAGTAGGAAGTGGTGAGGTCATAGATGACACAACAATTGATCATGACTATAATATATTCACCAGTATACTACATAAAGCACAAGAACAAAATATACCATACAGAAAAATTAGGTCAAATAAGAATGAGCCAAGGTGGATGACCAGAAAACTTAAACATGACATAGGAATAAAGAAAGGAATATATAAGAAATTAAAGGGAGGGGAGGAGCAGCTCAGAAACAGGTATAATGAACTATCTAGGAATGTTAAGAAAAATGTAAGGAAAGCAAAGAGAGACTATGAAATCAAAATAGCAAGAGAATCCAAGGCGAATCCCAAGGGATTTTTCCAGGTATATAGGACAAAGGTCAAGGACAAAGTTGGGCCTTTAAAGTCAGGGAGGGGAGAATTGATAAATGGCAGTGAAGACATGAGCAAAGCATTG